CCCGCGAACTCGAGCCTGCGGCACCGACGAGCTGAGCAGATCCTCGCGGCTCCACGCGGCACGTGCCTGCGGTAGCAGCAGGTGTCCAGCATGGCCGAGCCTCGGTGGCCTGCGGCAGCAGCAGGCGTCCTGCAGGCGCCAGTGGAGGACGGCGAGGGAGAGGAGTTGCAGGAGCACAGTGCTGGAACCGGCCATGGCCATGCCCAACGAAGAAGAGGAACAGTGCACAGGACAGGGCTGACATGCGAGCCCCACTAGCAGTGACCACCAGTGGAGAGAAGGAACTGACGAGCAGTGCTGGCGCCGTTGAGCTACGCAAACTGAGACGTTAAGTTCTACGGTGGCGCGCTGAGGTGGCGTGCCACGTCAGTAAATTTGACAAATTTATAAGTAAGTTACTGTTTTTTAGAGCAAATATGTAGTTGGCACCGTAGAACTGGCAATCAGAGAGGCGACCATCATAAGAGTGGCAAATAATTAGAAATCTCATTAAACAACCCAGGATGCAATTAACAATGGTTGACGTCCTTATCCCTGCAGGCCATAGACGCGACTCCCTGTGCGCGCGAGAATAATCCATCCTGATTCACCGGGTATGATGAGAGAGAGAAAGAGGGTATCATACAGCTGTTTTTCTTTTCTTTTCTTTTTTGAAATAAAGGAGTGGCTCTAGGGCCTTGATACTGAAGTTACTGTCTCGACAAACTAGCGAGACACTAAACATCTTACAAATTCTAGATGGGGGTTCGTCCAAACACATGACTTACCCGGATCCTAACTCATCCCCAATCTAGCTAGATTATGCGCTGCAGCATTACAATTTCTAGGAATTAAGAGGACATCATCATAAACAAAGTTATCACAAAGAAAGCTGAAATTGTCTTTGTTGAGTGAGGACTGTGATGTTGCAGTTCCTATTTCTCCTTTTTAGAGCTAGTTTGTTTAGCTCATGTGTCATGTAACTCATTGCTCATACTGTTATGTTTTGTTACATATTAGCTTTATCGTCCTAAGTCAAATATTACCATTCATGTTAAAAAAAATCTTATACTTTCACAACATATAAATTAATTACATATTATAAAAGTTTTTCTCATAGTGAATCTAAAAACATAAATTTTATGCCATGGATCTCTATAAACTGTTTTAAATCAATGGTCAAAGATATAAATGTTTGACTTAGAACATCTAATTCGACATGTAAATAAAAAGGGTAAAGCATATTTTTCAATCTCCAACTTGCATTGAAGTTCGATTTTCAACCTTCAACTATGAAATCGGGTAACAGACACCCACCGACTGCCAAAACCGGAAAAAATTGGTCATCGACTAGTTTTAAAAGCGGTTTTCTATTTTCTATTAATAATAAAAATCTGGTTTGATCGATCTCTAGAAGTTCATAAATAATTTACTTTAAATTATAAAAATATGAACTAGTTCACGTTTTCTTCTAAAAATGTTATATATATGTTGATGCCATAACCATTACACCATTACAGTCTTACAGATCATAACTATAGCAGGGTATGTAAAACCTTGCGTTCGATCGTACGTTATTACACATAACATAACACCCAGGAGTACTAACGAACTAGCTTCTAGACAGCAACACTGACAGGAGTTTACTGTACTTTTGTTGGAACTGATGTTACCATCATCATCTCTGATATATACCGCGCCGTGGAACATCTTGATGAAAATTGATCCTAAGGCAAACCTGTGCGTTGGGGGAGCTGGTAGGTTGATTGGCGCCGGGGAGACGATTGGTGTGTTAGATTCTTAGGATCACTAAGTGTAGATCTAGCGGGTGAATTCTACTCAATACGGGATAAGAGGACCTAGACTATGAAGTGGAGAAATAGAGAGAGAGGGAGAGAAAGGAGATTGAAGTGTCTGACCATCAGTGGGCTTGGCGGAGGAGGAAGACATGGCTGGTGTTGGTGAAGTGGAGGCAGCGGCGTCCGGTAGCGATGTGGGCGTCGGATGTGGCACGGAGGCGGGGGTGGAGACGATGGCGGAGCTTCCCATTACTGTCAGCGCCCCTCTGGATCGGTTTAGGGTTTGTAGGTGGGGATTATGGCAGCGGCAGTGAACCTCGTACTGAGTTCCCCGGCCACACCTCCTTTTATATGGCGTTGTGCGACGGGGGCCCACCAACCATGGCTTGGTTGGGCGCCCCCGATCAGGGATCAAGGCCCAAGTTAGCCGTTGGGCCAACTCGGTGGAGATCAACCTAACATGGTGGCGGTGTTGGTGGCGTGGGCACAGCAATTTCCATCTGATACATCATGCATGTGTTCTGGTACTTCATCATGCATGGGAAATGCAATGAAAACTACCGTAGCAATCATGGAGGCTTGAGGATGGATAACTTGCCTGCTGGCTTGTCCGAGCGAAGGAACGGCGTGAGCCGGAGACGGGGTTGGCGGTGGCAAGAGCAACTTCGTAGGTTGTAATGGTGTCCGTCGACGGCCATGGCTTCTCAGTTGGTTTGGGGGTAGCAGTAGTGCAGCAGCTTAGGGTGCGTTTGGATCCTGGGCAAGAAAAATACTACCTCGCTATGCTAGGCACAGCATTTGGTACTAGAAAAAAACGCTAGCTTTTGGGGGCGACCTCGCCCCGCTCGCCTAGGAAAGCATCGCTCCTAAGGGAGAGCCGATTCAGCTCGCCTTCAACGGCAAGTCGCGCTCGTGTGGAAGAAAATGAGCGCGAAATGATCTCATCCTCAACGACCTCCGCTTTTCACCCGTCCATACCGCCATGTTCCTCAGAATCCCATGCGATTTTTGCTCCAACACCTCCATAAATCTAGCCAGATCTCAGTTTCCACGCACCATAACCTTCACCCAGTAGCTCCATTCGTCTTCTCCAACTTGACTACTGCGAGACCAAAATATCGATTTGCTGGGGCTGTCTTCAGCAGGGGACGGGGAGCAGGTTCCTCCTCTTTCGATTACAAGGTCTGTAATCAATCCCTAATGTCTAATTTTTTTCCATCTAGAAATTGATTTTGATTGGAGTGCGCTTGAGGACTGCTTTAAATTGGGGATTAGTTCCATACAATTTTTGGTGTGCTTAACGATTGGGCTTTGATTTGGTGTGTGCGCAGCACTGTAGTCTGCAGATCTATTTCAAGTATAATGTTGTGATTTCTAGTCAATCCCCTCCACACATCGATATTTGGTACTGTATCAACAGTTCCTTGAATGAACAAGTACTCTTTTCTAATTACTAGAGATGTCGTGAATTGATTTTGGTCAAAATCTTACTCTGAGTTTCAGAGGTCTTTCTCTGTTGTTGTTCTAATTTTCGTTTTTATAAGTATTTACCTAGGCTAAAGTTTATGAGATCTTAAAGGTCTTTTTCTTTCTCTTGTGATACCCTACATATGTCCTCTGTATCAAAGAATTCATTTGATATTTACACTGTACTTGTAGGTAGTTTAATAGTTTGTCCTTTGTTGTTTGATTATTATAGATGGATGACAGTGCTATTGTTAATAGAATGATTGCATTCATTAGCGCTTCTATTTTAGCATGGTTGATATTGGTGATATATCAACGCCAGTGATCCTATAAGATACTCATTGCTAGAAAGGAATAAAGAAAGGCTGAAGTATCTACAGAAATTGTATCGTGGTGAGGAGAAACACTGCATCTCAGAGTTGCGCATGGGAAAGTCAGTTTTTTTCAAGCTATGTCTAAAACTGCGTACTATGGGAGCACTTAGAGATACTTGGCATTGTACCATAGAGGAACAAGTTGCTATGTTTCTCACTACTGTAGGACATCATAAGAAAAACAGTGATATTAGTTTTCATTTCACAAGGTCAGGTGAAACTATTAGCCAATATTTCAATCAGGTTTTATATGCAATTGGATAACTTGGACCTGAAATGCTTAGGCATCGCTCTCTGGATATACCATCAAAAATTCTAGGCAACCCTCGGTTTGATCTATATTTTAAGGTATGGTCCTTCCCTGCTATATCAAAATAGACTATTAATAATATATTAGTATGTACTTATGTTCCTATACCAATTGAATGGCTAGGATTGCATCAGCCCAATTGATGGTACCCACTTCCTTGTAATGTTTCATCAAGGATTGTAGATAGGTTCCGTGGTAGGAAAGGTTTTCCTACCCAAAATGTTCTTGCAGTGGTCGATTTTGATTTGATGTTCACGTATGTATGTGCTGGTTGGGAGGGCTTCGCACATGATTCCACTGTCCTACAACATTCTCTTGAGCATCCAAATGGCCTTCGAGTCCCTGAAGGTTGGTGTCTAGTCTATGTTTGGAACACTTACAAATGCAACTTAGTGATATTAATTGTGTTCCCAATGGCCTGGTAGGTAAATACTACCTTGCAGATGCTGGCTATGCAGCAAGGAGAGGATTTCTACCTCCTTTCGTCAAACTCGATACCATTTGCGTGAGTGGAGGGAAAATAGAGCGCGGACACCAAATGAGCTATTCAACCTAAGGCACTCATCCCTCCGCACTACTGTTGAGAGAGCATTTGGGACACTAAAAATTGTTTCAAAGTGCTGACTACAAGACCATATTATCCCTTCCCTTCTCAAGTACGAGCTGTCATAGCATGGTGCATTCTTCATAACTGGATATTACAAAATGGGGGACCTGATGAACTAGTTTTTAGCGAACAGAGTTGGTTTGAGAACTATCCAAGAACAACGGACGTGTTCAACGAGATTTACGTGAGGAACAGAGGGAAGTACTCCGAGACAGGGATGCCATAGCTAATAGTATGTGGAGAAATAGGCACAATGTTAGGCATGGCTGATGTGTGTTGTTGAGTCATCTATGAAACTATTTATTATTTTTGTGTTGCAATGTCTTGTCCTTTTAATTGTATTCATGGATTTGTCTGAATGAAATGTAGTTTCTTTACATGAAGTATCTTACATCCACATAGCCATATGAGGTATATGAATTTTGTCATCTCTAAAAATATTTTAAGGACTGTCACATGCAGGGATGGCAGGAAACAACATTGTGTGGCAGCCCCAGGTGGTGGAGGACATGCTGCGATACTTCAAAGAGAAGATACAAGCTGAGGGGAGACAACTGGTTTTTCGTGAGGTACATCATGAGGAATGCGCAAAGCAGATTAATGAAAAGTATCACACAAATTTCACTTAGCGACAAGTTTACCACAAGTATCATAAGCTGAAAGGTCAATGGAAGGTTATACTACAAGCAAAGAATTTAAGCGGAGCAAACTTTGATGATGTTAAGAAAATGATACTTTATGATGAAACGTAGGTTGTCAGGATGCAGAACGTAAGTCCTTCTGTCCTTATAAATTTGATTTGGTTATGTACTTATGTATTATAGTAAAGTACGAAATTAAGACCAGACATGTGCAGGACAAAGATCCAAGGGCGAAGTTTATAAACGTCCCCATCCATTGCTATGATGAGATGGAATTCATTTTTCAAGACAAGCATGAAACTGGGGAGTTCACCGTTCTACAAGCACCATACGATCTTCCTTCCACTCAGGATGGAGATTTAATTGGTGATAAGAATGTGAATCAAGGTGAGGATGTTGACCCAGGTTTGCAATATGATTCAGATTGCTTGGCTGAAGAGGATGGCAATAATGGGGGAAGCACATCTAGTAAGAGTCTTGCTACTAGCAAGCCTGAAAAGTGAAGAGGACTAAGCGTGATGATAGTGCGATATCAGAGGTGTCTCATGTTCTGCGTGATATGACTGACACCATGCGCTTCACTCATGTGACTCATCCAAATGAAGAATTATTCAAGACAATTGATGATATGGAGGAATATCCATTATTTGTTCGACTTGATTTACAAGAGTATCTAGCAAATAATGAGAAGACTGCTATAACAGAACCAACCAATTATACGAAATTAAGTAAGAAAATCATCCGCCAGAGCAGACGATTTAGCAAACTTAAGCCCGTATAACCCGGTAGTTCGTGAAATCATGAAGGATTTCAAACCAACTCATATACCAGCCAAGATCGTAATAAGTTTAGCGGTCACCATCACATATTATATAAAAGTTCGCATCATAGATACATCAGAGTTTAAACATAGTTATTACAAAACGAGTTCAAATAGAAGTAGCGGAAGCCATTTGTTCAAAACCACACACACTCACACGGAGTTCAAATATAGTGCCAGCTAATGATCATCTCCAACAAAAGCATCAGACAAGACGTAAGGAATGACCATGCCCATGGTCCTAAGCATCACCCATCGCAGGATAAAGGCAGTTGATACAGTAGCCATAATACATCTGCCCATCTGCAACAAGTGGGAATAAAACCCTGAGTACGAGAAGGTACTCAGCTAGACTTACCCGACATAACCAAAAATAAAGTGACACCAAGGATTATGAAGGGCTTTATACTAGGGTAGCTGACTCATTTGCAAAAGAGGCATTTTTAGCATTTCAAGAACCCTTCCAAAAGCATTATTGTCAAGTTAATTATTATTAACCTGTCGACTATATTTGCACCTATACTAGAGCAAGCATGTGATTAAGCAAATAATGATAACCCATGACCATTAACAACTTCTATAATGTCATATTCGTTATAACTGTCCAAGTGTTCCATCAACATTACTACGATGAAGTCACTCAAGTCAAGTGCTCACTATCCAGGAGCGATGGCGATTCTAATCAATTCCTAACCAGCTGGTGATTTATTCCTTACACAAACCTCACTCACCCGCTAAACTCTGTAACGGTCGGTCCTTAATCGACATAGATGGAAAGCACTACAGTCCAAAACTCTGTAAGTCTCCGTTCGGTCTCAACTTCAATTAACACTTAGTTATACCCTGACTACATAGTTATCCAAGCAGATCCAGGTAACCACCTATAGCTCGCAGGTGATAGGAAATCACTCGACTTCTATCGGTCTAAGCTAGCTAAGCATTGACTCGACTGCGGATACTAGGGTAACAAGGATATAGTATAACAAAGGTAGACAAGGTATAATGCAGCAACGGTTGCAAACAACTCCTGAACGTAATACATCAATTAAAGTAATGCATTTAATTAATAATTGCAAACCGGGGAGAGAAATGCTCCGGGGCTTGCCTCTCTCGAAGGAGCTCGGGCGGTGATCGGGGCACTTCGGAAGTTCCACAACGTCCTCCTCGTCTGCTTCGGTCACTTCATGCGGCTGCACCTCGGGCTCCTTAGGTATGATGACTGGGCTCTCGGTTTGTGATCCTGTATGATGCATGTGCGTAAGTGCTTATGCAAAAGGTGCATCGGATGAAATGAACCCAATGAATATGCTTGAATGCAAGGTAGTCAACATCATCCAAGAACATGTACTACAAGCACATGTCATCTACTGCATTCTTTTCTACTACTAATATGCTAAGTCAACACCTCTCATTAAATGCTTCAAAGATACACCAAAGCTTCACTAATTTCTTAATCATGCATAAAGCAACATTTGATTAAACCATAATTAATAATAGGTTTGAATAGCAACATATATTTTTATAGCTTAGAAATATCTTAGAAAATTACCATAGCATAGTACTACCCTAAATAGTCTACCATCATATTTTTATGGCATTTGGATAAGTAGAATATCCTACACAAAAATGACAAGCTATGGCATAATTATGAACATGAAAATACTTTGTATTATGAAAAGTGTCAAACAACAGATGTAATATTTTTCCCATGTCCTATACAGTAAATAATCATTGCACAAAAATTATCACATGCATGTTTTAAACAAATTTTGCTCTATAGCAAAAATAACAAAAATCAGCCATTAAAGGCACTTGAACTACACCTCATAATTTTTCTACAGGACATGCATGGCACATATTTTTCCTAGGAAGTAAATTACACAAGAAGAGCAACAAACTTGGAAGCATATTTTTCTGATCTTTCTATGATTTATTATGCCTTTCTCAAGAAAACAGCAATTTCAATGATTAAATAAAACTCCACAGAAAAGTATCTCAAAAATGACATGCAATATTTTTATCATGTAGATCTGGTGACAAGGAACACAACAAAATTTGTTTCAACAAAATTGGAGCCATTTTGAGCAAGTTATAAATTCCCAAAGCATTTAAATAGAAATCTGAAAAATCATTTCTTAAATCCTTTCAAAATTCAGCTGACGAAAATGTTGGGTGCACCCGGTGCTGTGCACCCAGACCCGTGCCAGGGCGCTGACGAGCGAGCCCCCGTGGGTCAACGGCCCCACCTGTCGGTCAGACCGAAACAGGGGCGGCGCTGACCGGCGCGTTCTCGCCGACGGCGAGGTTCCCGGTGAAACGGAGGGCACCAACGTGCTCCCCACGTCAAATCGCGTCGGATTGAGGTGATTATGGAGGGGCGGGTCACCAGAGCGAGGCTTGCCGACGGCAATGGCAGAGCGGCGGCGCTGCCTCGCGGTGTGCTGGCCATTACCGGCTATGGCACAGTCCGGTGAGGCGCACGTGAGCACGGCAAGGTGACAGCGGACCCGAAGCGCGAGAAAGGGAGGAGAGAGAGAAGGCGGAGCGGGGCCATCTACATGGAGCTGAGCTCTGGCGAGCGGATGCGCATGGGAGAGCGAGAAGGGAAGAAGCGAAAGGGGCCTGCGGCCACTACCTTCTCCTTGCTGGTGACGAAGGCGAGCGCGGAGCTGTACCGGTGCGGGCAGGAGCTGTGCTGGCGCGCAAAGGTGAAGCTCGGCGGCCGCGGGAATGGCGCGGTGGCCGCTGCGGCTTGCTGCCGCTGCCTGCTACTGCCGCGAGGGGGAGAGAGAGCGAAGTGGAGGATTGAGGAGGAGGCAGCGCTGCTCGGCAGATGTAGGCACGCGCGTGGAGGGCGAGGTAGGCCAGGGCTGCCGCGCGGCATACGTCGCCGGCGCATGGCGGCCACGTGGCGAGCGCGCTCTGACACGGTCGGGCGCGGCGTGCGGGAACAGGCGTGGCGCGGCGCTAAGGCAGGCCGGGCGAGCGGGCCAGCGCGGAGGCAGGCCGGGCCAGCGTGAGTGGCTGGGCTGAAGCGAAGGCGCGGCGCGCGGCGGATCGCTGGGCCGACTTCGGCTGGCGGGCCAGAAGTGGGGCGGCGGCCCGTTAACAGCGAGAAGCAATTTTTTTTCAAATTCTATTTTCAATGAATTTTCAAATATCAGTTTTCAAGTACTCTTTTGAGCAAGAAAATGACTTCTTTTGAAAATGGCCCAAAAATAAAAGTTGCTTAGAATTTAATCCTCTACAACTTTGCTTTAGGGACCAACTAAAAATTTTGCATAGATTTTGAATTGGAAAGCAAAAGCTAAATAGGTAGGATTTTTGACCATTTTCAATAAAAATTTCAAATGCATATTTTGTCAAAAGTTTGAATACAAACTTTGCTCCAAAAATTATGCTAAATAATTCTAAATGATTTACAATTATAGCCAAACATGTTTTACTAACCTAGCAAGCATAATTAGGGCAAAACAACTCTAAACAAGTGTATGCAACATTCATGTTTCACGAGCATGTTTCATACGTTTCGAAGCATGGTTTCAGTTATTATTTACATGATTAGGCATGGATACTTAGGATGCTTGATGATGCACAATATGCATGATTTGCAGTGCCTAAATGCTTGCATAACACCGGGGTGTTACAACCCTCCCCCCTTATAAAAATCTCGTCCTGAGATTTGGGTTACGAACCATTTGTTATAAAAATCTTCATAAGCTTTTTGTAGATATTCTCCCGTTTCCCAAGTTGCATCTCCCTCATCATGGTGATTCCACTGTATTTTGTATGTTTTCACCACACTGTTTCGAGTAGCACATTCTTTAGTGTCTAACACACGGACCGGTTGCTCACGATACACCAAATCTGATTTGAGTTGGATGCCCCGAGGTTCTATTCTTTCCTCCGGAACACGCAAACACTTCTTGAGTTGCGATACATGGAAAATTGGAAATACGGTACTCATTGTCTCAGGTAACTCTATCTTGTAAGCTACTGGACCTCTTATTTCCAAGATCTTGTATGGTCCTATGAATCTAGCGGCAAGCTTTCTCTGGACTCCAAACTGTTTCTTCTTCATTGGCGTGACCTTCAGATAAACATAGTCACCAACTTCAAACACAAGGGGTCTCCTTCTTCTGTCTGCATAACTTTTCTGACATGATTGGGCCGCCTTCATATTTTGTTGAATAATATGAACTTTCTTCTCGGCCTCTTCTACAAAGTCAATGCCATAATACCTTCTATCTCCTGGCTCGACCCAATTTAGTGGTGTTCTACATTTTCTGCCATACAAAGCTTCGAATGGAGCCATCTTGATGCTTTCTTGATAACTATTATTGTAAGCAAACTCAGCTAATGGTAACCATGACTCCCATGATCCCCTAGAAGACAACACACAGACTCTTAACATATCCTCTAGAACAGCATTCACTCGTTCAGTCTGACCATCTGTCTAAGGATGATAAGCGATACTACGAATCAAACTAGTTCCTAAGCCTTTGTGCAAATGTTCCCAAAAGTGAGCCATGAACTATGGCCCTCTATCAGATACTATAGTCTTTGGTATGCCATGCAACCTCACAATTTCTGCAATATACTTCTCGACATATTGAGGTGGTCGATAAGTTGTCTTGACAGGTAGGAAATGAGCGGTCTTGGTAAGATGATCCACAATCACCC